TGCTAATGTCGAAGCCTACTTACGCAGTCAGTGGCTGATCCGCAACTGGATGATGAAAATGACTTGCGGAAGGCAAACGGAGTTAACATAGAAATGATGGGACTGAAATGCGATTCGGCATTAGGTGGTGAGGTCCATCTCCCTAGTGAATGTGTAGTAGTGGTGCGAGCGATTTGATGGAGGAGTGAATGAAAGCCTCAGGTGGTGAATGCTAGACTTACGTTCACATTCGGCATCGATAGACTAGTCTAAGAGGTTTCATTCTAGTGATGTCAGCCTTGAAGATAAATCGTGTACTTTGTGTGGAATCCGAGCCAATGATATGTTAGCGGATGACGATGTCTTAAAAACACCTTTGTGAGTAGGTGACGTTTTTGCTTCCAAATACATGTGGAATAGTCGCACCCTCAGATGCAGGAGCATTGGGCGCATTAGGACGGTCAGCGTCAGCTAGTTGTAATTAGGCGGCTACTGCAAAATCGATGGACCGGTTGATAGGAATCTGAGCAATAGCGAAAACGAGTAGATGAACTAATTGAAGTAAAGCTACATTTTGCTTCTTTCTAGTCAAGGCGACGTGAAAGCGATGAATTATTCACAGTGTTGCACTGCTGACAAAGATGAAAATAAACGGTTTTCGTGAACTCTTTGTTAAAGTGGTGAACAGATCTAGAGTATTGCTAAACTACAATCCTAAGCTGCGAATTTATCGGGAACCTGGGTGAGCGTTTAGTGTGCAATATCGTTTATTGAAGCGAATGTCGTAAGCAGATGTACTGACAGAGGAGTTTATCAGTGGCGCAAAGTAATGGCGACAGGAGGAGGATAGGCAGCACTTTAATCACAAAACTGCACTTTTCAAATATCGTGCTGTGTACGGTCTTATAACTACCTGTTGCCTGCCATGAGGACCATACAGTATAGCGCTAAACACTTTCGCTTTGAAAGGCAAGGTGACATATTCAAGCAAATGGTTGTAGGCACCTCTCTTACAAAACCTTTTTCATACTCATTTATACAGCACTCACTAGCTGTGCTGAAGGAGTTGGCACCAATTGAGCTGAAAGAGGTATTTAGAAAAGCTAGCATAAAATTTAGCAAATCGAGTGGAATTCTCGTAACCAGTGCTATTATTATCTCATTCAAATATCCAACCACTCACCTCCTCTCTTCTTACAAAGCCGTGCTCCTCATTATCGTCACAAACACCGTCATCACTACTATCGCCATTCTTCATTTGTCATTATAATCTCTGGTCTCTAAGTCTCCACATATTACCTCACTAAGTTATTTTCACTTTGGGAGTCATTGGCGAAGATGAGTCGCCTTAGACACAAACAAAGAGACTGGCATAGGTCCATCGATAAGGCCGGATTCACAGGAGCAGTACAGGACCGGTGCTAGGAGAGTGTAGAAGCGGTATAAGCAAAATTTGAAGCTGGTCTGCCAAAGAATTCCATTTAGACATTTGGCACAACAGAGAACTAAAGGAATCACCTAATAATGATCAATTAGTTTCGAAGTATAAGGATGTTTAGTTTACTCTGATATCTTCCTCATGACATTCGAAGCAGCTATTGTCCGCATGGCAATAATCTGAAGAAAGTTGATCGCGTTCTCTACAGGCAAGTGGACTCACCTCATGTGGGAAGACAGTTCCTTAGACTGCTGATTCATATTTTGGGTGACACTACAAGCACATGATAGCCTAAGTGGCAAGTCAATGATAGCGGAAATCACTTCCAGCACAGACTAGTAGACCATTCAGTTGCAAGTAAAACTTAAAAGTTTTGTTCAGTTCTCCCAGTTGAAACGCAAACTAGTCCCGCATTAGCAACTAATAAACACCAGTATGGCAGAGAGCATAAGATCAGCTTACCAGAATAGTGATATTTGCTATTTGAGGTTTATTAGAAAGCAAGCGCTACAAGGTTACGAGATGCAATGGCGTAGTCTGAGATCGCTAATGAGAGCGAAAAAGATATTAGAACATCTGACTTGTTTACTCATCAGTGAATTATGGGAGAACATGCCTATTAGCTTCGCGAATGTGAGGTTCAGCTTGTGCTGTACCAACCCCAACCACGTATCTTCAAGGACCAAAGGCTTGGTGAAGTGCATCGCCAAGGCTATGTCGTGTACATGACGGTAGCTCCACAAGCTGTACATACCATAGTACTGTGGTGCATGCATTGGCCAAGGGATTTCGCGCTTCGAGAGAGCCCACTGTGGATACTCACTGGGATACCGAACGACAGGATTCACATTCATTTTATAACCGTAGTTCAAAGATTCTAGTTGCTCCCGTGTTTTATTGCGAACGAAGTTAACTAACTTGTCAGTATTTACGGCAAAGTCGTCGTCGAGAAAGACGAAGGTCGGTTTGTAGGGTCGACAAAATCTAGCAGCCCATTGGAATGAGTGGAATTGTTTCAGCGTCAAATTGAAGTAGGAGTCTTCATAGTCACCAACAAGCAGGTCATTGTATTTGTGCATTTCTCTGATTAGCTGCGTTTTCGCCCTTGATGGAAAGCGCGAATGCTCCAGCAGCCTTTGTCCTGCTTTACTTTGTAGGGTCACGTTAAAGCCATCTCTTTGAAACACATTGCCTAAAGAAGTTCGTGGCAATCCGATGGAGAAGATCAGGTGGATGTTGACATCAGTGTAGGATAGATAGTAGAGTTTGCGTATTTGATTTCTCTCCTTAAAGTTGTAGACTGCAGACTTGTATATAATTACTACATTAGGATGGGACGACCCAAAAATGATACCATCTGTGACCCGTGCAGCTGTTAGAGGAGAGCAGATACTGGAGGGAACTTTCAGGAATCGTATTCGTGGATTAAAAATGGGAGCCTAAAAATGGAATA